TGCCACCCTCACGGAGGGGACAGTGCCACCCTGCCATCCTCACGCAGGGGATGGTGTGTGGGGAGGGGGTCCTGCAGCCCACCCCGCAGCCCCAAAAAGCAGGGCAGGGTGTCCAGGTCCTGGCACAGAGACCTTGGAGCGGGCTGGTGGCAGGTTAATGGTTGACAGGCTGTTTGCCCTCGCCTGCTGCGCTTTTTTTACACGTTAATTTTTTTTTTTCCACATTAAATCTGGGTGCCAGTGGCTCCCCCAGGGCCCGGGGCCCGGCCAACAGCCTGCCTTAGCGGATCATGGTGTTGTGGGTGCTGGGGTTGCCCAGAGCCATACCCCGGGGTGGAGATTTGGGCCCGGTTGTGGGAATGTGGAGGGGAGGATGCTCACAGCAGGAGAGCACAACTGGGGAGGCACAGAGATCCCACCAGGACCGTCCTTTGGGGGGGGACACCTTGCCTTAGTGCTGCAGCGGCCCCTGGTCTGTCCCTGGGGGATACTGAGCCACGGTGGTAGGTGCCAATGGGTGCCAGGCAGGCTGAACACACCTGAGGTGTTTACCTGGCAGGGAGCGGGGCCTGGAAGGAGGGAAGCTGTTTGGGAGGAGGGGTGACACGCTGCAGGACAGTATAAAGTCCAGGGTGCGGTGCTGGAGGCTGAGGCTGCCGCGCTCCTCAAGCACTCTTCCTGTTCTGGGGCTGAGGTGAGAGCTCGGTGGGCTGCAGGGGTGGGCACATGTCCCCCTGGCTGGGGGGCACCAGGGTGGGGGCCACAGAAGGGCTTGGCTGTAGGCCAGGGAGGGCAGAGCTGGGGGTGCTGGCCCCCATGGGGGGAACGGGGTGAGGACGGCGTGGCTGAGACAGCAGCCCTGAAGGACATGGGCCAAGCAGTGGGGCACCATCAGTGCCCCCCCATCCCATCGGAGGATCACAGCTCAGCAATGTGCGCAGCCCCCGTTAGCGCACAGCCAGCATCACCCAGCTGGGCTCGTTCCCATGTGGCCAACAGGACAGGACATGTGCAGGGCAGCTCCAACAGCCCCGCAGCCATCGCTGCTGGCACCACCTCCC